AAACACCATAACATCCCCATATCGGTTAAAAGATATATTAAATGGCCAAAATCAACTGATTTTCTTAATGAGAGTGACATCAGTTCATCCCCTTTTACTTTTTCTAAAGTGTCATCATATCCAACTATGACGGTCAACAGTTCGTAACCAATCAACGGCCCTTCCGAAACCAGATTCAGCAGCAACTGATGATGAACACACTGTCGTCTCAGGGGGCCCTCCGTCAGCCACTGATACAGTCCAGTACCATGAGCAATATTTTATCAGAAACGGACATAGACATATTAAAAGAGCCGTCCGAAACTTGCTATTAGAAGATATAAACGTTATGCAATCCCTTGAATCTGAAAAAGAGAAAAAAATAACTCCAAATTGATGACGTTGATCAATACCGCCGGACTCTAACAAACATTTGTCAAATACTTCAGCAAACAAAAAAAGTCTTAAGCATATCTCTGTATATGAGGACCGTCAAAAGGGTCTGTAACCATCTCGCCTATCTCGCAAGAAACGTTGTCAAAAATGACCGTGCCTCTCACACCTGGTCTACCAACGGAAAAATCTTAATAAAAGATCGAAGCAAGCGCTTCTATCTGATAGAAATAGGTACGAGACCACAACACATTCGGACATGACATTGATACTGGATCACTGACGGTCACATATATACATGATATGATATGTAGCACGTAGACCTGACTGATCTGCAGTAAACATGTACTATAAGTGTTCACTGCTTCAGTTCCAAGTTAATATCAGTCTTTTTTCTGTACATGAAGACCTCATACAATTTGTGTTGGATATTTATCGTGGTTAGTAAACCTCGTGTCATTATATACTCAACTAACTCAAGTATAATACATATACCATGAAATCTTAAGTAATCATTGGTGGAGTTGTATGCTATAAAAGATATCAAAAAGATCAAATCTTGATTTGGTTTATATTGATAGGAAATGCATGTAATCAAAACATGTTTTGTAAAGTCTCAATTGGTATTTAAAATCCCATAAAAACCTCTGCTGTATATCTACCAAAACAGGTGAAACAAATGGGATTGTTACCTGACTCGCTATATAAATGTATATTAATCAATTTCGACTGTTTCCCAGACAATTCACCAAACGAACTATAGCTAATGTGTGCTACCGTAAAACTGTTGACTGGTCACTTGAAACTGTTGACTGGTCACGTGAAACTGTTGACTGGTCACATGAAACTGTTGACTGGTCACGTGTTAGGCAATCGAACGCATCTATAATTACAAGCACCCCGATGATCAAGCGTTTTTAGTAATGGATTGTTGACGGTCGTCTGTCGGTAGATCTAAACATCACATTCGACATGGAACTTTTTGTTTTTTATTGGTCAAGTAACAAAACAGTTGTTTCATGCCTTATCAGTCAACAGTCAAAACCATTTTCCCTCGGAGTTGGGACCCACCAGATGAACTGTTTCCCTCTGCCTGCGGCCTCGGGAAACAGTTCATCTGGTGGGTCCCCCCTCCTCGGGAAAATAGTTTTGACTGTTGACTGATAAGGCATGAAACAACTGTATAATGAGGTCATATCAATTTAATCCAAATAGACTGAAGGCACAGCAGCTACGTCAACAATCTCCTAGACAGTGATACAGGTAGGAGCAAAAACCTGTGGACGTACGCGTACGTGAAGAGTCAGCGAACAGACTCCTCTTGAGTATCCCCACTGAGGAAGGATGGACTTGTTGTTAGTGAGCCCAAAGCGAAAGCTGAGATACTCAACCAGCAGTTTTGTTCTGCATACACCAGGGAAAACCTGTCAACTGTTCCGAAAATCGGCCCCAGCAACATCAGGGATGCCCCGACTATCACCATCAGTCAGACGAGAGTGACAAAGCTTCTGTTTAATGTCATAAGGAGCAAAGCAACAGGTCCAGATGAAGTCCCAGCAAGGCTACTCAAGATGTGTGCCCATTCCATCTCTCCCATGCTCACCAGAGTATTTCAGTCTTCCATAGATGCTGGAACTGTCCCTGACGACTGGAAGAAAGCTCATATCACCCCCATCTTCAAGAAGAGAGACAAGGCAAAGGCAGGCAACTATCGACCGGTGTCACTGACTCTAATATGCAGTAAGCTGACGGAGCACATCATCCACAACAGTCTTATGGACCACCTAGAATAACACGGCATCCTATCTGATTACAAACACGGATTCAGGAAGAAGAGATCCTGCGAGAGCCAACTGATCCAGACCATAGACGACATTGTCAGGAGCCTCGACATAGGTGATCAAGTCGATGCAGTCCTCCTCGACTTCTCGAAGGCGTTCGACAAGGTCCCGCACCAAAGACTTTTGTGCAAGCTCCACTCCTATGGTGTCCGAGGGAACACGCTCAAGTGAATTAAAAGCTCCCTATCCAAACATACTCAGAAGGTTAACATTGGGGGCCAACAGTCATCAACATCTCCAGTAACATCAGGAGTCCCTCAAGGAACTGTCCTCGGACCTCTACTATTCCTGGTCTTCATCAATGATCTCCCCTTGTGTTTAACATCCACTCCTCGCTTGTTCGCGGATGACTGCTTGTTGTTCAGAGTTATTTCCACTCGTCACGACTCTGCACGACTACAACAAGACCTGGACAGACTACAGGAATGGGAGGATAGATGGCAGATGAGCTTCAACCCAGAGAAATGTGAAGTCATCCGGATAACCAGGATAAGGAATCCCTTGGTCACGACCTACTCCATCCACGGTCAAGATTTAGAGACAGTCCCGTCGGCCAAGTTTTAGGAATCCACATCCAAAACATCCTCTCTTGGAACAAACACATCGAAGCTCCCAGCAAGAAAGCCACTTCCATCAACGCTTTCGTGCAGAGGACACTGAAGAAATGCCTAGCTGATGTGGAGGCGGCCTGCTACACCACCTTGGTACGCCCCATCATCGAGTATGGATCTGCCATCTGGAGTCCACATACTTATTCCAACATCAGCAAGATAGAACAGGTCCAGCGGAGGGCAGCCAGGTATGTTATAGGCGATTTCAGCCAATACAGCAGTGTCACAACCATGCTGCAGACACTCGGCTGACACACCCTGCAGGAGCGGAGAATTTAGGCCGTGGAGATGATGCGGTATAAAACTGTCCACGGCCTTATCGACATCCGCCCAGAACCATACCTTTTGCCTGCATCAACAACATCAAGGACCAGATAGAGGACACGACAACCGGTACGTCCAACCTACATCAAGAACATAGACCTGCCAACATTCATTTTTTCCAACTGCAGTGAGGACGTGGAATCAACTACCACCGCAACAGCATCAGCAAGATCCAGCTGACATTCACCCTCAACTAGACAGAAGATGATAGATCTGTTTTTAACTCGTTTTAATTGTACATCGGCTATCGTGGATAGTTTTTACCTCCCGCTATGAGCAAACGTTGCGACAATATTCTTATGAATGATGCACATGATTTTGAAGAAGAAGAAGAAGAAGAAGAAGAAGAAGAAGAAGAAGAAGAAGAAGAAGAAGAAGAAGGCTTTGGTTGGTACAGATTGTCGGTCACCGACACAGATATGTCCAAATCACTTACCAGCTCATTTTCAAGAATTTCTTTCCTTTTACCTTCGCAAAGAGGCTTTGGACAACCTTCTGCGTCTCCCAAACTCAAATTTCTATACACAGGTTGATTGTCTGCGACGCCCTGATCATTTCATTACGGAGGCAAGATGGCAGGTTACATTCATAAGCCGCCATTTTAACTGCATTTAGTGTAGGAGTTTCATGTAATCAGGTTTAACAAAAAGATAAGATCGTGGTTGGTATTTATTGTAGGAGTTGCATGTAATAAAAGATAACGAAAGATAAAATCTTGGTTTGGTATTTATTGTAGGGGCTGTATGTAATAAAAGATAAAATATTTTACCTTGGTATTGTACTTTATGTAGGAGTTGCGCATGCTTTGACAGCTTTACGTCCTGTACTTAACTAGTACAAATAACTCGAAAGGAAGAAAACGTGCAAAGGGTTTTCACTCCTAAGCAGGTAAAAAGACTTTCCTCCTCATTAAATCGCACCTGCACGCTTTTATTGAACCACGTGCTTGCTAGATCGAAAGTTATCAGATGGATGGGTGCATTATTATAAAAAAACAACTTTATGAAAGTCGTGAAAATTGTCCATTTAAAATTGTCAATTTTACCCTTACATTAAATAATTGTAAACGTAAATTAACGACGCAAATCCATTTTGAAAGTATTTTTGTCTTATAATTTGACGAATTGTCAAGGTAGTTTGTAAACACAAACACGACCTTGACGATGTTTTACATATCATGTTCTGTAACACTGGTACATCGTTTTCTCCTAAGTAATACCAGTACCCCGGTCGTACGTATTTGTGCAATAATAAATAGGGCAACGCAGTGAAGTATTTAACGTTATTGTTAATGACTGAGCAAATTGAAATAAAAATCACGCGACCGAAGTCTGCGAGAACCGAACATTTTACCCGGTTACGCACCCGAATCTGAAAAGGACAGCTTTAAAATGAATAAGGCTACATTCGAGTATCCCGGTTGAAACGGTACGTGCATGTGTGGCGCAGAAATTTTCCACGATAAACGAACACACTTGGACCGTTCTATAAGCAGAGCTAAAAATCCACAGTTTCGGAGAATTAAAAACAATGTATCAAGAATATTATATCCTTCTCTCACGCGTCCACTAAATAACATAACGTTTCTTAAAAATTACATGTGACCTGAGATTGTTTAAGAATTGGCAATAGTCAGCATTTTAGTTTCGGTCAGGTACGTCTGGACCCCTCAATCTACACGTACCAAATTTTCCTGAGGTCAGCCTCGGTCCAAATCTGTACCTGTCGTTTTCTTTATGGGTTCAACCGGTTCAACCGTTTCAACCGGATACGCGAATGTACCCTAACAGAACACTAGATCCGGACAATTCTATCCGGTTTCGGCTTTAATGATAAAAATATTATGTTGTGTTGTGTATCCGGTAAAAAGAAGTTAACTTCTCCGAACAAGTATACTGAATGTGAAAATAGACAAACATCGTCCATAAACGGTAATATTTCCATATAAAATGATTAAATGTATATTACTAACCATTGTATCTGTCGATCGATCGTATCAGAAACTGTGGCTGGCCTAACGTATATGCTGTGACACTGTTGCGATAAAGTAGCTTTCTCACGACGAGAGAATTTTTGGCCGAGGCATTAATATTAGTACTTACTGTTGCAGTACTGTTCGAAATCACGCGAATGTAGCAGGCCAGGGGCAGTTAACAAATCTTATTTCGACTTCTTATATATTTTTTATTAACAACCGAACGATATGCACAAGGAAAGGAATGAAATTCTAAGGAAACCATCACAGGTGTTTGAAATTCTGACTGTAAATTTAGATAAAAATCTTATAAAAAAATAGGGGTATTACTTTTTTAGAAATACCCTTATTTTTTTATATGATTTTTTTCTCAATTTGCAGTCCTAATTTCAAACACGTGTGAAACCATATATATACAATGTAATCTACATCTGTAAGTAGACATTACACCATGTAATCAAGTTGAGGTAAGCTAGTTAATAGAGTGTAGATCCAATCTAATGTTTTGTGTTTTTTAATGCTTCAGGTAGCATTGGATAACATGCCTTTGGTGTTGCTGTTCTGAAATGCTTTTTCTTGGACACCGGAGGTAAAATAATCGAGACACTTCAACTTCCAGTTACAGGCTGTCACATGATGAGGACATTTTGGGAAGGGTAATCAAACCATGTGCATGCATGGTGATCATGATAAATTATACTATTTCAATATCTGTTAGGGGTAACATTATTGACAGACATACAAAAATGTACAATGACAAATCCATTGAATCGTGCAGAAGCTAAATGTGCAGGACTATAACAGTAATATCTTACAAATGTTTGCAGTAGAGGTAATTAAGTAGTGATTCAGCCACAGATGTCATACACAACATAATTAAATATAGTTAAAGTGATAAATATAAGTACAGCTTTATGTGAGTAAGTGATCTATAAAGAAACACCGTATGGCACACAAAGGTGAAAAGCTACATGAGTGTGATGTGTGTGGTAAAGAGTTTAATAAGACCTACAACAAGCAGATACACATGAGGACTCATACAGGTGAGAAGCCACATGAGTGTGATGTGTGTGGTAAAGAATTCAGTACAACGCAAAGTCTACGAAGACACCAAAGGATACATACTGGAGAAAAGCCATACAACTGTGCTGTTTGTGGTAAAGAATTCAATTCAAAAGATGGCCTACAGACACACATGTGGGTTCATACTGAAGATCTAGAGAAGCCGTACAAGTGTGATATGTGTGGTAAAGGATTTATTAGCACGGGTGATCTAAATAAACATTACAAAATACATACAGAAGAGAAGGCTTATAGGTGTGATGTCTGTGGTAAGGGATTTTATAAGCCATATAACCTGAGAATACATGTCATGACTCATACAGGAGAGAAGCCGTACACATGTGATATCTGTGGTAAGGGGTATATTGTGGCTCAAAGTCTGGAGAAACATCAGCAAACACATATTTTCCAGAGTGGAGAAAAGTCCTACAAGTGTGAAATCTGTGATAGAAAATTTAAACATACAGATGGTCTACGGACGCACTTGAGAATTCACACGGAAAAGGAACCCTACAAATGCAGCATATGTGGTGAGGTGTGTTATAGTAAGGCTTACTTACACAAACACAGAGGGACACACACAGGAGATAAACCATGTGATGTCTGTGGTAAGGTGTTCAGTAGCACCAGTGATCTGAAGAAACATCAGTGGATACATTCAGGGGAGAAGCCGTACAACTGTGACCTCTGTGGTAAAGATTTCAATCAGGCCGGTAACTTAAAAGCACACATGATGACTCACACAGGAGAGAAGCCACACAAATGTGATCTGTGTGGTAAAGAGTTTAGACGAGCCAATACCCTACAGACACACAGAAGGACTCACACAGGAGAGAGGCCATACAGATGTGATGTCTGCAGTAAGGGGTTTAATAGCAAAGGTGACTTACAAAAGCACTCCAGAACCCACACTGGAGAGAAGCCATACAAGTGTGATGTTTGTGGCAGCGAGTTCACTGTGGTACAAAGTCTGAACAGACACCACAAGAAACATATACTGGAGACAAACCGTTCAAGTGTAATGTATATAATTAATAATTAATATTATGTCTTTAAATTACAAGAAAGTGCATAAGTGACCTTTATGATACCTCAGGACTTGACACACACCGGAGAGAAGCTTTACACACAGATTAATAGATTCTTAGCATTATTCAAAATTCCTGTAATATACATGCATACATGTGCATGTGGAAAATGATTTTCTCACACAAGTGCACAATTTTTGATACTTATAAGTACATAAAGGACCTCGAAGTATACCATATACTCTTATCCATTGCAAGTTTTAATTATTTTTTTCATAAGGGGATCCTGGTGTGATTCCTGTGGAAAGGGCTTAAATGTCACTGTACCAAATCTAGTTTCACTGTAAGAAGATACTGCATACTGGGAAATATTCCTTCAATTTATTGTTACCTTTTCCCTCTGGAATCAGGGTGAATTTACACTCTGGACAGGTTGGATTTAAAAACAAAAAAATCCTAAGCAAATGAGACTAAGTCATTTTTTCTATGGTGTTTAGGAAATTTCAGTAGATCCAGGTCATAAAATGATACCTATATAGCTACCAATTTTTCAGAGTATGATATATTTGTATTCATTTTGCATAATTTATACAATATAAATGCCAAATACCAAGGGACACTCAAGCTTGTACTTTACCTATATATCTTTAAAATTAAAAAAAAAAAAAATGTAAAACAAACAAAAATAGAAATATGTGTATTTGTGAACAATCAGAATTTATTGTTACATAACATATGCAACAACATTGATAAAAAAAAGCTTGAACAATACAGGTAAAAAAAAGCTAAAATCTTTGGGCATTATACCTGAACCCAATCCTTTAGCTGACATGTATTGTACACACCTATGCAATGTGATTACAACACAGCTCCTCATTAATATCATATGAACAATAGTGATGATATGATTTGTTTAAATCAGCTGATTGATTATTTAAATTCAATCGAGACAAGCTTTTAGCAAAATATTTCTACCACAATTTCTTTCTTAAATTGACATTTTTTTTACTGTTTTAATATATATATATACAAGTTTCAAAAATGATGAAGCTCCAGAGTGAGTAAAAGGGATATTTCTTTAGATTGGTCAATAAGTCTTAAAAAAATGAGAATGCTGGTTTGTTAAAAATATTTTAGAAACCTGTAATGACAAACACAGAAAAATGATGAGGAACACCACATGTTTGTTGCCTTGCATGCTCATTTTTAATATCGATTTAGTTAATACTGCAAAACAGGAAATATTTGTGAGTCTTTTTCTTTCTGATTTTACTTTTACTCTTTTTTGTTTTTGCTTATACAAACTTAAATAGCCTACTAGAACCCTATATCTTGAGTCTGTTTAGGATTCCTATCCCACTGCAGACAAAACTAATATTAGAGGTGGCTTTTTTTGAAAATGGTAACCTCCCTTTTAGTTTAATTACTTTTTTGGTATATAACTGTGGATAGACTGGTCTTGGGTACTACTGTTAACAATGAACCTGAGTCGGTAAGAGCAAAAGTATAAAGACTGGAGGTCCAGGGTTCAAATCCTAGTTTGGCCCATTGCATTTTTGGCCGGATTGCAACGCAATCAGGGCTAATAGATTGGCGATTCCCGTCTGTCCATCTGTCCATTCATCTCTCCGTCTGTCTGCGCTAAGGTTCAGAAGAATGGTTAATCTCCGTTTTCAAGTTATTAATTATCCCATGTATCTAAGGATGCTTATCACATGCAATGCTTTGGATGCTGGTTGTGACCTACATTTTCCACTTTAGTGACCAGGAAGTCGCCCGCCTACAAGCTATCTTTCTTAATTTCTATGGTATTGTCATCGCCCGCCTACTATCTACCTTCCTTATGTATCTAAGGATGCTAATGACATGTGATGCTTTGGATATTGCTTCTGACCTGCATGTTCCGCTTCAGTGATCAGGTTAAGAAGATTGGTTAAGGTCAGTTACTAAGTAACTGCTTGTTGTACATCAAATAAACTTGCATGGTTTATGTATCTAAGGATGCTTATCACATGCGATGCTTTGGATGCTGGTTCTGACCTACATTTTTCGCCTCAAAGACCAGGTTAAGAAGTTCAGTTGAGGTCAGGCCCCATGCATCTGCACTATGGTTAAGAAGATTGGTTTCGGTCACTTACCAAGTAACTACTTGGCCTACATCAGCTAAACTTGCATACCTTATGTATCTTAGGGTGCTAATCACATGCGATACTTCGCATGCTGGTTCTGACCTACAATTTCCGCTTCAGTGACCAGGTTAAGAAGATTGGTTAAGGTCATTTACTGAGTAACTGCTTGTTGAAAACTTAACCTGTATTGCTTATGTATCTTAAAGGATGCTAATCACATGCGATGCTTTACATGAAAATGTGCTGTAGCAATCGGGCCATATCACTATTGGCGGTTTCTTATTTGCTATTAAATTAAAAAATATATAGCCATACATAGAAAAGTTCCCGATGCATGGTAAGTTGTTTTGGCAGTGGAACAGGGGTCCTTAGTTCATACAGTACTGTGTATACACTTATAACCATACTCTTGGTTCCACTCCTGGGATTGTACAACCATTTAAACCTCACAGTAATTACACACTGAAAGTTTCCTGTTATACATGTTATAATGACCACTGCTATTTATTGACTAGTAATAATGACCACTGCTATGTATTGACTAGTAATTATAATGTTTGTATTATTGGATTTATTTACTATATGTACCTGATCGTCTGAACACTAGATGCCAGTTACCATCTATAGATGTAAATGTATAGTAGTGCGCTGTCTAGACATTAGAAATGGTACAGTATTATATATGACTAGTTTTGCACTGATCACATGACAATGACATAAGGTTTGGATATTTTAAAATCAGCTTTTTCAATCGACAAGGTGCATATTGGTCACAAAAATAAAATAATTTTACGATAGTTTTTGTTCGTTTTTTGTTTGTTTCATTTTTAATTTATCGCCCACCAGGTTGTTATCAGACTGGTTCAAAATGATCAATGTGAAACTACTGGTACGCAACACTGCAGCAATAATTGTCAACCATCTGTCTTGCCGATATCAACTTTATTTTCTTTCTTTGAAAGGCTACTCCTCCTAAATGGCTGATCTGGGCCCGTATGCGTGAAAGTGTTCTCATGCTGAAGCATACATTCTGTGCTTTCTTTAAACGCAGTTAAAAAATGTAATACGATAACAAAAAGTCCTGTGTAACCATTTAAACAATATTTGGTTTGAAGTCTCTCTTCAAAATTTTCTGTACCCTTAGCGAAATGTGTTTTGTTCTTAATTTATAACTGGAACAAGAAAATGGGCTTGAGCATGGAATCCGAGTTTGAGCTCGAGAACGGTTTCATGAATACGGGCCCTGGTTTCAGCTGCATTTGGAACGAAGCTCCATTGGGCCAAGGAGAGGTTATTTTGGAAAAGAAGAATGTGCTGATGCATTAACAATTGGTATAAATATTCCTTATGTCGTCATGAACAAATAAATTGTAATAATTTTCATAGAAATCAGAAAAACCACATTGACCTCTGATAGTGTACCAACCTGCCATTTGATTGACAGAGACATTTTTGCCTTAAGAATCGCTGCAGACGCATGGAAGGAAGATCCTATATACACGTGTGGCTAATCCGGCATCGTAATGGTTGAGATCGCGATTGACTACATATACACGATATAGAAGTGACGTGTGACGCTCTGATTAAGTTAAGATGTTTAAATCCATTTTGAACCTCAATTCCAATTTTTACTAAACAATTATGCTGCATTTTGCTGGAAATTATCAGTGCATTGTCTAGAATACATGTTATTTGCGAGCGGAATCGAAGTCCAAAATGGCCCCCAAAATATTTTTGAAAAGCCGGAAAACCTTATTTTTAATTTCTTTTTAAATTGACATTTTGTTAAGCGAGATTATAAGTACAAAATTACGATTCTTTACATGATCTTGGGGTCAAAGATCAAAGTCATTATCTTGAAAAAAATAATAATACTGGATTCACAAATGATATGGAAAGGTAACGACTTTTCGTATACATACAGAACCTGCAGACATTGATTCGTAACCTATAGCTGCCCTGTTCCACCGTTTGCTCTAGTTGTTAATTTCATCTTTAGCCAAATGTTCTCGTCATTGCCGTTACCATGGGTTGTTAGGGTTAATACGAAAACTTACCCCAATATAAAGAAAGGCAAATCTAGCAATGCCTCACGATTCATACGTTCAATTAATGATTTGGTTTGTTTGTGTTTTACGTCCTATTAACAGCTATGGTCATTTAAGGACGTGCAAGGTTTTGATGGAGAAGGAAAGCCGGGGAACCACTACCGACCTGGCGACTGCCCCACGAAGGTCTCGAACCCGCGATCCAGTGGTGGAGGGCTAGTGGTAGCAGAATGTCCGACGCCTTAACCACTTGGCCACCGCAGCCCTCCATTAATGATGCTATTCAAAGGTGACAATTGCTAAAACTCATTTTACATATATTTAATGGAGGCAAAATATACGTCTTTTAATTTCAAAAATGTTACGTTAACACGCTAAGATTCAAAACAAACACATCTCTACATGTACTTGTAAATGCATTTTAATTTTAAAAATATGTTTGATTATATATCCCTCAATCGCAAATTTCTGCAATTTGACTTGTTGCCTATTCACCAAGATGTCAGAAAGATACGTGCATCCATATGTAAATGATATATTTGATAAAAAGAAGCCATGCTTTGCTACTGAGAGATTTTGATTTAGCAAGTGAAGTTTTCGACCATATAGAAACTTACCATGTGGCTATAATAGTTAGTTTCGACCCCTGGAAAGAAGGATTTATTCGGTCGGTCTACTTAATGAACTATGGACTGTGGCACAGACAGAAGCGTAGGTATTGTCAAACAAAATTATGAGATGTGGATGAAGTTTATTACGAGTTTATTACTCGGAGAACCTGTGATTAACTTATCAAATACTCTAATTGAGGAGATAAACATCGACACCAACCCACAAAATATCGACAAGTTTGTAAAAAAGAATAACAGCATACGTCATGGTTACTTCACGTCATTGTTATTTTTTCTCTATTTATACCGTGCAACTTTGAGATCATTCTGAGATAAAAGGGGGTAAAGTGGGGGACCAACATTATAAATGGCCTCATTTTGACAAAGCTATATGTTAGTTTTTGAACCCTTCTTCATTATTGTGATGTTTTGTGCAACATTATACAACACAACTGAGAAACATTAAAACTGGCATATAACTTATAAGTTCAAAGTTTGAACTTTGAACTTGAACTGATAAGTAGGTCACAGTGACCTTATTCTATAGCGGCCGTATTGTGTCAACAATATACTCTATTATGTGTCTAGAAACACGCAAGGACCACACTATATTCATGCTGAATATTAATAAGTAGCATCGTAGTCGTAGCAGCCTCATCTAGAGACGTGAAGTCGGAGGAAGAGTGTTCACAGTTATATTAATTTTTCGCTTTCTGTGGGTTAACCTGAACACATTCCATATTAGTAAGATGTAATGGTAATTGCATTATGTACAAGAAATAGAACCTTCCTCTAAAGTGTCTAACAATAAAACCACAAGGTGGAAAAAAAGGTACCAGACATCTAAAATGCTATTTTAGGTGTTGGTATTGAAATCTATTCTCTTCGAAGATATCCAAACTGTTTGTGATGTATTTGTAGAATACATATCGATGCAGAACAGTTATCAATGATTATGATGAATCACATAATGCATGTATTAATCATTGTGTATTAATACAGGAAGGAAAGGTCAAACAACAAAGGACTTCAGATGTATATACAAATGAAATCCATTAAGCCCGGTACTTACGTCCAGGGGCGCTGATACAAGCATACTGGCTATGCAATGGTATATTCAAAGTAAATAAGATAAAGAAATGGACGACACCAATACCAAATATTAAAAATGAATCCTTGTTTTGGGAAAAAGAAATATCAACAACTGAAAATATGTGTATTGTACTGCACCTCCAAGATACTTCAAACAGTACAGAATGGCATGTATCCTTTTTGCACAGTGATCAAGAGTAAAATATAAACTTTATTTATTTTACAACAATTATGATGAAACAAGTTATTTCAACTTATATTAATCACTCTTGTTGGCCCGGATGTTAGCGTGCTTGGGCTCTTTGTGGGAGGAAACCGGAGTACCCTGAGAAAACCCGCGTGATCGGGCAGGTGATCCTATACCTTTTCATGTCCGATCGGGGAGTCGAACCCCGGCCGCCATGATGAAAGGCAAGCGCGCTATCCGCTGCACCACCCGACCACCCAAAGAGTACAAGAGGACGCAAGACATTAAGGATACTTGTATCCAAGATAATACAATTCAAGTCCAATTGCAAGGTATTGCAAGTTAAAACTATTAATTCCTAGAGTATGAGGCAAGTACACATCACCATTCGCACTATAGGTATGTAAGGACCTCCACTCAACTAAATAAGTATGTTAGGTCTTTGTCAGGAGGCGGTAATGCAACCAATCGTGTCAGCCAAAGCATCCATCATTACGGCAGAAGTATATGATACTTTTATGTACCTACCACAAACACTTATTATCACAAAGTAGACTTCAGAAATTGATAAAAGCAATGGCGAACATCATTCACGTTTGTATAACAGTTGGTCTACTACCTTAAACAATAATTAGAAAAACGAAGAAATAAAACACCTATTTGAGAATTTTGTTTGTAGATGGAAATAACCCAAACACAGTATGTATTTTGATACAGCTGTAATTTCTTTCATGTAAGAATCAGCAGTGGTACTAAAGGTCAACAGAATGAAAATTCCATTTCTAAAGTGGGCCGATAAATAGGTAGAATACAGCGTCTAAAGTGGGCTGACCGATGGGTAGATTGTATCGTCTAAAGTGGGCCGAAATATAGGTAAAATACAGTGTCTAAAGGGGGCCGAAATATAGGTAGAGTACAGCGTCTAAAGTGGGCCGACCAATAGGTAGAATATCGCGTCTAAAGTGGGCCGACAAATAGGTAGAATACAGCGTCTAAAGTGGGCTGACCAATAGGTAGAATACAGCGTCTAAAGTGGGCCGATCAATAGGTAGAACATAGCGTCTAAAGTGGGCCGACCAATAGGTAGAATACAACGTCTAAAGTGGACTGACCAATAGGTAGAATATAGCGTCTAAAGTGGGCCGACCAATAGGTAGAATATCGCGTCTAATTTGGGCCGACCAATAGGTAGAACACAGCGTCTAAAGTGGGCCGACCAATAGGTAGAATACAGCGTCTAAAGTGGCCCGACCAATAGGTAGAACACAGCGTCTAAAGATGGACGACCAAAAGGTAGAATACAGCGTCTAAAGTGGGCCGATCAATAGGTAGAACCTAGCGTGTAAAGTGGGCCGACCAATAGGTAGAATACAACGTCTAAGGTGGACTGACCAATAGGGAGAATATAGCGTCTAAAGGGGGCCGACCAATAGGTAGAATATCGCGTCTAAAGTGGGCCGACAAATAGGTAGAATACAGCGTCTAAAGTGGGCCGACCAATAGCTAGAACACAGCGTCTAAAGATGTACGACCAAAAGGTAGAATACAGCGTCTAAAGTGGGCCGGAGAAAAGGTACCGTATAGCATGAAATGTTCGTTGTGTATAAACATTCGTGGTTTTTGTGTTTGAACCACGAAAATAAATACAACGAATGTGAATGATATATGTGTCAACTGTTGGTTAATACAGGATATCAACGAAAGTTTGTACCACGAAACGATCTAAATGGCTTCAAACCACGAAAGAAACTGCCCACGAACAGTTCGTGTAATACAGTAGTATACAGCGTCTAAAGTGGGCCGACCAATAGGTAGAACATAGCGTCTAAAGTGGGCCGACCAATAGGTAGAACACAGCGTCTAAAGTGGGCCGACCAATAGGTAGAATTCAGCGTCTAAAGTGGGCCGACCAATAGGTAGAACATAGCGTCTAAAGTGGGCCGACCAATAGGTAGAATACAGCGTCTAAAGTGGGCTGACCAATAGGTAGAATATAGCGTCTAAAGTGGGCTGACCAATAGGTAGAATATCGCGTCTAATTTGGGCCGAAATATAGGTAGAATGCAGCATCTAAAGTTGGCCGACCAATAAGTAGAATGTAGCGTCTAAAGTGGGCCGACCAATAGGTAGAATACAGCGTCTAAAGTGGGCCGACCAATAGGTAGAACACAGCGTCTAAAGATGTACGACCAAAAGGTAGAATACAGCGTCTAAAGTGGGCCGACCAATAGGTAGAACACAGCGTCTAAAGATGTACGACCAAAAGGTAGAAAACAGCGTCTAAAGTGGGCCGGAGAAAAGGTACCGTATAACATGAAATGTTCGTTGTGTATAAACATTCGTGGTTTTTGTGTTTGAACCACGAAAATAAATACAACGAATGTGAATGATATATGTGTCAACTGTTGGTGAATACAGGATATCCACGAAAGTTTGTACCACGAAACGATCTAAATGGCTTCAAACCATGAAAGAAATTGCCCACGAATAGTTCGTGTAATACAGTAGTATACAGCGTCTAAAAAGGGCCGAACATTTGGTAAAATACAGCGAAAAGGAAACATTAAAACTGGCACATAACTGATAAGTAGGTCACAGTGACCTTATTCTATAGCGGCCGTATTGATGGATGTTACTATTCATAGTAGTGACTATGAAATAAATGCAATTATGACTGAAATTGAACATTTTGATATTGTTTCAATTGCTGAAACACGACTAAATTGTTTAACAGAAACATCTGCACTTTTACTCTGTGAAGGTTTTAACACTTTTTGACATTATATTTTATTACCTAAGCGTAGGAATAGCCGGAACAGAAATACAAATATACAGCGACGACATGGTTTTAGGGCTTATATAGATCTGGAATGTATCTGACTACAGTTCAATGTAAGGAACATTAACGTTCTCAATGCAACGCTTTATAGACCCCCAAACGCTGGTGATGAATCAGTAAACCTTATTAAACATACTATTGAATAAGAAACCGATACAAAAATTATAGAAGATTTAAATGAAAATTTTATAAAACAATAGAAATCGTTAACAGTCATAATTGTAACTACCTGATAAGTTAATCGAGGAACGTTACTGTGACAGCTGATCTACTTTCTATTGGTAACATGAATCTGATTGAAAATGTAGCCGTAGGTAATATGTTTCCAACGTCTATGGAAAGGTACCATTGCACCATATTTTAGATATTGTGTATTCTTAATATTACATGTACACTGGAAGGAAATGTAGTTATTTAATAAAGGTGATTAGCAGTCACTTAATACACAGTTCGGTGCAGTTGAATAACATATGAAGGAAATTCTCCTCTTCAAGATTCAGCTGGACTTCATGTGATAATCTATATTTACAATAAAATGCTAAGTTTGTTTTAACGTCTATTTCCTTTGTAAAGCAAAGGGTTCAAAATTGACATACCAGATGCAGGCATGCTAAATTGCAGACAGAGATATATGTAACACATAACCTTTATTCCAATACCAGTGACCTTTTCGGATAGCATAATCTATCAGTTGTACTTTTGCTTGCTATATATGTATTTTATGTACTTTTATGTACTTCATTATGTACTTTGTCGCCGACGTACATTGAATGTTAGTGTACACCGTGAAGCATGCAGTAAACAAGAGTATTAAATCATTCTAATTTTCAACACTGTTCCGTCCATATTTTCCCATCTAGTAAATGCCCAGACGCCAATGGAAGCAGTAGTTGAAAACCTCACGTGACCCAGTTCCCTTTAGGTGACGTTGAAACGTCATATTACCATACGTAATATGTAAATGAAATCGAACGCTCGTAATTAACTTATGTTGTTGTATTTTATACTCAAACAAAAAAAGCCCGCATCTTCTTAATTGTTTTTAGTTTTTATTAAATATACATAGCTGTGTACACAAATAGAAGCAGATATGCCCAGACGTTTTCCTATGAGACGTTTGACGTCCATACTCTTCACTGATGAACCTCGGATTCACGTTATTTCGAGCAGATGGTCGTCAACTTGTGTACCGGCGTCGAGCCGCGGCGGGAGCGTTTTCTAAGGTCTGATCTTTGGAACATGATCGATATGGGGGTTGATCAGTTATAGTTTTAGGAGGAACGTGGTTTAAAAACACCTATAGCGATTGTTAATGGGTGTTTGATGACTGTCCCCTATCGAAATAATACCGTAAGGCCCCACTTTGTACGTTTTGTTAGGAGACATAGCGTTATGTGAGACCACACATTGCAAGGGTCTGACAGAACTTTTTTTCAACACATAACATTACTTTCAAGAATATTTCTTTTCCTTCCTTTAAGACATTTTCTTCGTATACAGTGACTATGTCCAGATACGCTTGTTTTTTTGTCCTTTATAGAATCGCCAACAGGTTCTAAAAAAAAAAAAAAAGTTTCTATAAGAAAACCTTTTGAAATAAGACAAGAGTTTTCCAGATATTCAACATTACAATGGCGGAGACAAATCTGAGGGACATGGTTCAAATTTCCGGGGGCAGACTGATGTCTGAAGCCCAGAAAGGCCTCACCGTTGGGACGACTACTTAGTATTGACGTTGTTATTGATTTTGAACACATAATTGGGGAGCAGATGCAAGTCACCAAGTCACATGCTACCTTATTTGACCTTCACCACACTGCAGTATGCTGTTACTGCATGCGCTTGCGCACTTCGGGTGCAGACATTTTCTTTATGCATTGTTTGGATATGCTGAGACATTATCATAATAATTTCTGTTTTTCAGAGTCACGTGTCCCGCGTTGACCAAACATTTTCCCTGCTGGCGAAGCTCATTATTATTTTTTGGAGCGAGATCACAAGTGGATCAGTAAATAAGTGGCTTTTGAGGCGAAAACTAAGCAGATTGTGACTTCTGTACTGGAAAGTGAATTACGTGAAACGTTATCAAGGTAAAATAGCTTTATTTCCTAATTAACTATTTATTTCATATTGTTTTCAACATGGTTCGCAAACGTGAATTTTTCATTTTGGTTTATGCATTATGTCTGAACGTGACTTGTACATAGTATATATTCAATAATCGCTTTAACATCAGTGTGTTAATTCATGATATATTTTAATTTTAGTTGTTATTTGAAATGCATACGCGGTATTGAAAATTAAAAAAATGTATCTTCCCGGCCAAACATTGAAAACAACCGATCCCAGCTGAATTTGTCGATTGGACAGAAAATCAATATATATATATATTGTAAGTTCAATAAGTATTGAGATTTGGAAATAAGAACAGATTATCGTTTTGCAAAAATCATATTTCACTAACATGCTTATTTCTTGCGTAAAAATATTACAGAAACGTATATAATAAATATGGTGCACGTCCAGAACAGTGTGATGTTTCGTGTAAAGGTCGCCATGTTGGATTTTAGATCGACTAGTACATGTGGTATCAGCCAGACGACTCTTTTCTAAATGGGACGAGTGGCCTGTTCCTGAAATCTGACATTGACCCGATCATATTAAAATTTCAATCAAACATAAACTGATGTTTGCATAACTTGTTTGCAATTATATTGAAAAATTCTGATGCCGCCAACACATCATTAAAACAATAATGAAATGTTATCATTTATTAGTTAATGTTTCAAAGAGAACACCAGTCATCTTACGTCAAGTTTAATTATGTTTAGAAATAATGGTTTTTAGATATGTTATTCCGGTGTTTTGGCTTATCTTTATATTTCCTAAACATTTCTTAAAATTCAGACGTGATGAACAAGCTGAATTGGTGTTCAACAAAGAAAATCAATTTGTTTATTTGTGTATGAGTTTGTTTTTGTCTTTGTTTTCTTTCTGGAATTTTTTTTTTATCTATTACTTAATGGTTTTTCATTGTTCAAGTTGCAAAACAGTTGTTTATATCATGTCCTATCAGTCAACGGTGTAATCCGTTTTTGGAGTTTGGACTCCCTAGATATACTATTAATCTGGTGGGTGCCAACCCATTTTGACCGTTGACTGGTAGGGCATGAGACAAAAGTACACTATACATTATCCTTTTGTTGTTAAACGGTTGGTGTAGTGATAATAGTTACGATTTATTTTATCATTCTATCATGGCTATCTGTGTCACCGGCTATGCTGTTGTCTGATCTTATGACCGGACGGCGCGATCATATAACAAAACATGCATACACGGACATTACATTTTAGATATATTATATATGCTGTTGTTTATGAATATTTTTCATATAATATTCGATTTTGACTACTTATCTTCATTTAACACTCGCATTACCAGTTTTCCTAAGTGTAATTAGCTGATGTAACATTTAGGCAGGAAAATACTAATTTGGTTTGTTTCTTGCCCTCCGCGCGATAATCCATATGTGATAACAAAATAGCTGTCTTTTTGTTTTCAAATACATTGTTATTTTATATATTTGAATGTATTGTATAGACATGTATAAAAATCTCTTGGAGGAATGCGTCGGTACCGGGTCTGGTGGGGATTTAGAGGCGGAATCACATGTTAAATATTGTCGCAACACGACACAACATCTTATTGTTAAATGCGTGATTTATCAGACAATTGTTAAGTAGTTTACATAAAATATAAACGAGAGAGGGGGAAAATATTTATCAGATAGTTACTCAATATTTTACTTGAATACAACCTAGAGACAGAGAGTATCAGTCAGGAACTAAATAATTCATTTAAACAACCAGCCAAGGAAGATTTTATTGCATACGTTGTTTCTCACGCTTAGTCTAAATATTTCGAAAAAATAAATAATCATGGTTTATGTATCTGTCACCATTACATATTCATATCTTCATTAACGCAAGGAGACGTATGAAATAACTTGCCCCAGTCGATAATAACAGGTGCAGTTTGTCTGACCTCAACCTTTTCTATAAATAACGCAACATGCTGTTTCGTCAGCCATAATCTACCGTAATTATTATATTAAGTATACGTGTACATGAACTACATATTTTCGCTGCTTTTCTCGAACTTTTTTATACCTCAAACCTCTGTAAAGTATCACTGTTCACGTCACTATCCCTGTAGCTATAGTTGTTGATGTTGGTTAAAATACAGGGTAACTGATTTACAAAAGTGTATGAACACTTAATACTGCGGAGACGGATTAATGTAGTTTCTCTGGACCAAGTTTCTAGAATGTTCCTTAAGTTGAAGAAAATCCTAAACGTTTTTTCCCATTATGTTGAGGAATGCCTAAGTTGTATCGTATATATTAATTGCACCATTGCAATATAATGACATTAATACGCTATGAATTAAACATTAATTACATCAGTGCCATCTTGAAACCAACGCCCCCTCCATTTTGAAGTTTCTCTAAACGTCATTTATATTTCGATTTTTATTTTCAATTGATTCTTTTTCGATGTATTACCAGACTCCTTTATAGCGCTAACATTTCGATAGACAACTGACGGGGATATTAGAAGGATCTCTGTCAAATTAGAAATGTCGTGAAATGGATATAAATTTCTTTTACCCACAAGATATTTATATCTCCAAGGCTTTGTTCTTGCTCGGTAGAACTCCGTTAAATAGGGATAGAAAATATAGCTTAATAAAATGGGTCCAAGATAATTAAGTTAGGCGATAAGCAATTTGTGCAATATTCTCAAGATCTTAATTATCTTGGACCAATTTTATTAAGCATTAGCAGCTAAGTAGTGTATTGAATTAAATATTAAACTACAATGCCAACGGGCAAGCACTGGGAAATAGTGTATTCCCAGACGACGTCTTTGATTATGTTATGTTCATTAGTATTTCTTGTACCTATAGTCTCGCTGTCATTACTGAGGTTCTCGTTTAATGATGTCACATTGCTTGGATTTGACTTAGAATTACTTGTAGAAGTAAAGGCGCTTACCCTTCCAATATTATATAAATATATATATATATATATATATTAGATAATAAATAAATAAGTCCTTGCGAAGGAAAATATAGAATAAAAACATAAATTTTTCAGGCTCATTTTATCAATCTCACAAAATGAATACTTTGATATCCTACATGTTTAAAACACGTATATAATGTAAAATATCCACATGACGTTGAGCTCAAATAAATCCTAACTAGTCATGCTTTTCTGAAATGAGGTTCAGCGAGTTTTATTAAAGGTATATTATGTTGGAATGGGTATGCGGATCTCTTTTTCATTTGGTCAACCTAATTGTTACGCCATCCTATTTCCCTTTACTCTGGATATTTGGCGCTTAATACGACTTGTTGACTTCTTGTTTTATAATAGTTCAAGCTGCACTTGGAAATGTTAATTGCATGTTTTATGATAAGTGAGGCGACATATGCCATGCTGATTACATTTTCACAATACATGGCGCTGAACATGACGTGTGATTAAACGTTTTATGATAAATAACGTGAAATATGACATGCCTATTAAAAATTTGATTATAACACTGAATATGACGTTTGTTTAATTTGCATGTTTAATAATTGACGCTGAATATGACATGTTGATTACATGTGTTATGATAATCGACGCTGAATATGACATGTTGATTACATGTGTTATGATAATCGACGCTGAATATGACATGTCGATTACATGTTTTATAATAAACGACGCTGAATATGACATGTCGATTACATGTGTTATGATAATCGACGCTGAATATGACATGTTGATTACATGTGTTATGATAATTGTGCTAAATATGACATGTTGATTGCATGCTTTATAATAATTGTGCTGAATATGACATGTCGATTACATGTGTTATGATAATCGACGCTGAATATGACATGTCGATTACATGTTTTATAATAAACGACGCTGAATATGACATGTCGATTCCATGTATTAAACAAGTGACACTGAATATGGCTTGCAAATTACACAATCAGATTTTGGTTTAATTTGTGGTTGTATCTATCCGACAAACCAAACGTTTTACCAAAAAATGGCTACCTCGTAATATAAATGATACCGATCCCTTTGATTTAACCATACATTGTTTTTCGATGAGCACACGTACTATTTTTTTCACCAAAGCAATGCTTATAAGTAGAGTATTTTTGAAAAATGTCCATAACAACATTGGATTTCCTAACAAAATAATATTTTACCTCACCGACGATATTTTCAAGAACACCACGAAAAATGTGACCTGATAGGAAGAAAATATTTCATTTCACAGTTAATGGGTTAATTACTGGTCATAGCGAGTTTCATATGGCATGCGTTGAGAAAATAAAATAAGTAGCCAGCTGGCTTGTCACCAATAATATCAATTACTGTTTTACACCGTTTTATGGTTTGATTGTTGGTTGAATTAAACACGGGGTATTCGACACAATAAAAATTCCTTATCTCGACCCTGAAAGCAAACCTCTGACGTCAAAGCTCAGAGTTGTTATTATTTTCATATTGGGGAATACACATAAGCTTGTGAGGAAGATTGGATATTTAGAAATGTTTAGATTACTTACTAAAATGCCGTAGCAAGTCCATAATGGTTGATGTAACTAATTCATTTTTTTTTTACCCTGAATTTCCAAGACGTCATTTATAATAGAGATAACGTATAGTATACGGTAATGAAATATCGGTCACAGGTTTCTCATTGACCAATACAAGACACGGTCATGGTATTAGTAGTCAGCTTATTAGACCAGCACCAGGACAATCCTTAATGTGTTATAACATTAATGATTTATACTGGAATTAACCGTGTCGAGGGACTTGCTGCTTTCTGTACCGCCCTCATAATTATATCTCGCATTGAAATTATTCATAGCAGTCAATGTAGCAATTACTGAAGTCAGGGATAAAGTCAAGGCGGCAAACTTCAGTAGGTTGGTAGCACAGGGGACCCTGACCGCCTCACGTCACGGTCATTGGATTTTATTTTATGGCACTGTAGTCACGATTTTTGGAGGTCTCTCAATCCAATTCAATATATTTTCAGGAGGCTTTTATTGTGTTTAGGAAATTTACAAAGCGTTTGTAATACAGGGATTACCACGTGCGTGACAAGTGAATAACTAATTATTTCTCACGTGATACGAATATTGTTTTTATTTATAGTATTAGTATTTGTACGTTAAAACCTTTCATTGTTTCTTAGAGTAATTGTAGTAATTCTTTGTTTTAACAGGGTTATCAGCACTGTTTCAACTTTTTCCTGATATATGGGAAGGAATTCGATACTTTCGATTTTATTTTATCCAGTTGTAAAATATAAATCCATAGTGACCAGCACTAGTGTACTTACCGGTAACTGTTAGTATTTACCTAAGAACTAAGCGTACACACTTGAGCATTAATTTTATTTTCAAAAATGTACATAAAATCCTTATCATCGCAGTGAGCCCCGTTTTTGGTTAAGGATGTATGCTACCGGTAACTGTACCTAACTACTGTTGGTTGTGTAACAAATATCAGTCTGAACAATTATCATTAAGCATCATTAATAATTATTTTTATATTTTGTAAAAAAGTCTAAAAAATCAACATACTTTGTAATCTTCAGTGTTAGGATGAAGTAACATCTAAACTAATTGCAATCATATTGTATACCTTTTAAACTAACTGTAATCATGTTGTCAAGATTCAAAACTAAGTGTTATCATGATGTAAACAACCTAAATCACTGTTATCATGTTTAACTAAGTGTTTAACCACACACTCATCCTGTATACATTATTCAATCATCTTGTATAAGTAACAACACAATCATCCTTTATAAATTCAGNTCAGAAGACCAGTTATACTATTTTATTAAAAAATATTGGGAAACAACTACATAAATAAGAATATAAAGCTTTACATCATGTTTATTATATATCTAACCTGTGTTTAATATGCATAAATTAAACTATTTGGTGGGATTGAATTTCCAAACTCATCAGTGGATGGCCTTGTGTGATACAATGGACTGTTTGGCCTGTATCTGTTGGGTGCAGTAATTTAATCCCATCAAATGTTTATACATGCAGCTCAATCAACAAATTATTTTTCTTTTCTCTTCATAATATGTATATATATATATACACCGGTATATATATTATATGTCTTTTCAATATCAAAATAAAAGGTTAGAATTTAAACCATTAGATTCAATTATGATAAAAATGAGTATTAGTAATTGTTTCCTCTAATTGGATTATTAATTTGATAATGCCAACTTGTTTATATGTGTTTGTATGTGTTCTAATGTCTATGTCTATGCTTGTACCACTGTCTGTTACTATGTTTGGAAAGGGCTTAAATAGGCTATGCCTGCTGCCCAATCCATTTGTCCTTTGACAATAAAATTTATTGAAATCGAAATCCTTTATAAATTACTTCATTTTCATCCTGTATATATTACCATATCATCATCCTGTATATATTACCAAACCACCATCCTGTATATATTACCAAACCACCATCCTGTATGAATTACAATTCCATCATCTTGTTTGAATTACTATATCATCATCCTGTATGAATTACTATATCATTATCCTGTATGAATTACTACATTGTCATCCTGTATATATTACCATACCACCATCCTGTATTAATTACCATACTATAATCCTGTATGAATTACCATACCATCATCCTGTTTGAATTACAATACTTTCATCCTGTATAAATTTCCACCCCGCCATCCTGTAAAAAATACAATACTTCCATCCTGTATGAATGACTACCTCACCATCCTTTAAAAACAACAATACTTTCATCCTGTATGAATTGCCATATTCATCCCATATACATCACTTCACCATTATCCTTTATAAAGTACCATACCATTATTATATATATTTCCCCTAAATAGTATTTTTCTATGAAAAATTGTATATGGTCGATTGATCCTTATAAAAACCATGTACATCTAGTGAAGCCCATTCCTAACTTTTACGCGTTAGCAGGCATTGCCCTGGGTACGACACGGAAGAACATGTCCCTATCGGGATGGATCACAGAATGTGTCCAGTCCACCACAAACTGAAGGTCCTGTGTTTCCTTCACCAGTCTGAAGTCAAAGGCATTTAACAGGACCGCCATAGTCAGTCGGATTTCCAGCCTAGCCAAGTGCTGAGCGATGCACATACGCGATCCGTCTCCAAACGGAATATATAAATTGGAACTGTCTTTTCTAGACAGGTTTTTGTAAAACCGGAACGGAACGAAGTTTGTCGATCGGTTCCATGTGTACGGAGATCGATGCATTCCCCAAAGAAACACCATAATTTCGCTCTGAAATATATCATGTATGAAATGTAAAGCTTAATATGTCAACTGTAATACATTACATATCATCAATAATACATCAGATATCACCAGTAATACATGATATATCAACAGTAATACATTACATATCAACTGTCATACATTACATATCAACAGTAATACATTACATATCAACAGTAATACAATACATATCAACAGTAATAACAGTAATGCATTACATATCAACAGTAATAACAGTAACACATTACATATCAACAGTAATACAATACATATCAACAGTAATAACAGTAATGCATTACATATCAACAGTAATAACAGTAATAAATTACATATCAACAGTAATACATTGCATATCAACAGTTATACATTACATATCAACAGTTATACATTACATATCAACAGTAATAACACTAATACATTACATATCCACAGTAATACATTACATATCAACAGTAGTACATTACATATCAACAGTAATACATTGCATATCAACAGTTATACATTACATATCAACAGTAATACATTACTTATCAACAGTAATACATTACATATCAACTGTCATACATTACATAGCAACAGTAATACATCAGATATCACCAGTAATACATAATATATCAACAGTAATACATTACATATCAACGGTCATACATTACTTATCAACAGTAATACATTACATATCAACAGTAGTACATTACATATCAACAGTAATACATTGCATATCAACAGTTATACATTACATATCAACAGTAATAACAGAAATACATTACATATCAACAGTAATACAATACATATTAACAGTAATAACAGTAATACAATACATATCAACAGTAATAACAGTAATGCATTACTTATCAACAGTAATAACAGTAATACATTACATATCAGCAGTAATACATTACATATCAACAGTAATAACGGTAATACATTACATATCAACAGTAATAACGGTAATACATTACATATCAACAGTAATACAATACATATTAACAGTAATAACAGTAATACAATACATATAAACAGTAATAACAGTAATACATTACATATCAGCAGTAATACATTACATATCAACAGTAATAACGGTAATACATTACATATCAACAGTAATACAATACATATTAACAGTAATAACAGTAATACAATACATATCAACAGTAATAACAGTAATGCATTACTTATCAACAGTAATAACAGTAATACATTACATATCAGCAGTAATACATTACATATCAACAGTAATAACGGTAATACATTACATATCAACAGTAATAACGGTAATACATTACATATCAACAGTAATAACGGTAATACATTACATATCAACAGTAATAACACTAATACATTACATATCCACAGTAATACATTACATATCAACAGTAATACATTACATATCAACTGCGATAAACCAGTAGAATTGTCGTATTAATTGTGGGAAGATATATAACAACTGATTTACATAGGTGGACATACGGTGCCAATATATAATATATAATATAAAAACTAAAATACATACCATTCAAACAGAAACTCATAACGTATATACATGTATTATCGTTTTTACACCAATATAATAAAATTTTATATAATAATGGAAATTATATAATATGTATACAACGAATGGACATGTTGTATTAACAGAAATACATAATGAACGAAATGGTCATATGGTGAAGTAAAATGTTTAATTTGTTTGACTTTCAGCTTCTTTAAACAGGTGCTTCCTCACTGCATATTTCAATTTATTATTTTACGTAACAATGTGTTTGATTGCTGGAGGATTATCAGTCCCCAGTTGGCCGTGACCTTGTAGCTGGAACTTATTCTTATACAGCTTGCATACAATATAATTTTAAGAATAAATGATCTATTGTTACAAAAGAAAATTAATTAGAAGGGTTTTGATAGACTCTTATCCCCTATTACTGTATTTCTACATTTCGTCATTTGTCACAAAATGTACAATATTTAGCATCAATAATAATATGGCAGTATGGTAGAATGATTAGTTTGTTTCACTTTTCCTGCATCGATAATCATTATTTCTAGTGATTTATTATTTGATATATATAGTATGTTAATTGAATTGAGTAATGTATCAACTGAAATTTATAATATAGCTATTCAATCTGAATAATGCATTAATTGAACAGAAATAATATATCAAACACAATTTCGTAATTGAAACATTATGTATGAAATGAAAAACATGAAATCTATCTATTGTTTGAACATATTTTATCATGCGATCTGAAGTGAATTTTGTCTAATTGCACAAATCAGGAATTCTAAGAAAAAGGAAACAAAAATGATATCTCCGTTTAACAAAACATATATAAATTACTCATAAAAACATTTACTTATTCATATAAATAACATGAGCAGCTTTATTTGTAAACGATCATCATCATTGTTACATAATGTTTAACACTCACGCGCTCCTTTAATTTGAAGTTGCCTATAGTGACGGGTCTCTCGTTTTGTCTCCGGATAAATGGTACGATTGGGTAAAGTCGGAGAACCTCTTTGATGACACTATCTATCTTCGGTAATGGCAAGTTCGGGTCTTTCCGTATATTATCCACATTCTGCTCAGCTTCTGTTTGGAGTTCTTTCTGTTAATACATAGAAACATGTTCAATGATTCTTCGTTAAAACGAATGTGAGTAACTTCAATACTTTGTTAATATAGAGTATAAGACCCAATGCCAGTTTATGACATTAATGAGTTACCTATAAATTTGAGTGTAAATGAGATGCTTTACCCGTAGATTTAATTGTTGAGGAGATCAATATCCGTAAATATGAGTACTGAGGAGATAAATACTTGTAAATGTGAGTGTTAAGGAGGTCATTACATGAGAGTGTTGAGGATATAACTACCTGTAAATTTCAGTGTTAGGGAGATTGCTACCTGTAAATTTCATTGTCAGGGAGATAGTTACCTGTAAATTTGAGTTTTGAGGAAATCACTACCCGTAAATTACAGTGTTGGGGAGATAGTTACCTATAGATTTGAGCATTTGAGGAGAAAGATACCTGTAAGTTTCGTGTTGAGGTAATTACATGAGGGTGTTGAGAAGATAACTCAGTGTTTGGGAGATATTTACCTGTAAATTTAAGAGTTGCGCAGACAGTTACCTGTAAACTTCAGTTTTGAGGAGATAGTTACCTGTAAAATTGGGTGTTGAGGAGAAATTAAAGCTACAACTAAACTTGAATGTCGAGGAGAAAGTTACCTGTAAATTTGAGTATTAAGGAGATAGTAACCTGTAAAGAGTGCTGAGGTGAAAGCAACCAGTAAATCTGAGAGTAACCTGTTAAGTTGAATTTTGTCAAGAAAGTTACCTGTAAATTACAGTGTTGAGGATATAGCTACCTTTAATTGGCGTGTTGAAGACAACGTTACCTTTAACTTAGGATGTCGGATGTTACATGTAAAACGGAGTACCCGTTGATGACATAATTTATCTGGAAAATGATGTACACGTTGATGGTATGGTTTACCTGTAAAACGGAGTCCAGTCATATTGACTACATATTTACCTGTAAAACGGAGAATCCGTTAATGATATTTCTACATGTAAATCGCAGTACCCGTTGAATATTACTGTTATATATACCTGTACTTGTGGGTATTTGGCGAGCAAGTAGAACATAATGGGTAGAACAGATGCAGTCGACTCTGTTCCCGCCATCAAAAATACCTTCATGTTGTCTTTAGCCTGGAAAATACATCGAACATAAACGAGATATAGTCTTACTATTTATAATAATAATAATAATAATAATAAATAATAATAATAATAAAGGCTTTATCTATTCTTGATAACATATTGAGCATGAAGCTCATCTTACATATGGTCAAGATACAATGTATGATAAAATGTACAATATTTACAGCATTTATGATATAACGTAAATTAGAAAGCGCTTAAAATACAACCGCTTAACGTAGTTTCACTGTAAACCTCTCTCTCTCTCTCTGTGGTTCAAAGAGAATCGATCGTACTTTGTCGTAACCGCACGCGTCGTATAGCTGGGAAACTAGTCGCCTCGCTTTAACGTTGTTATCATCAGTGTTGACCGCATCCGTTAGGATTTGTGACGTCAGATTGTCCAGTTCGTCTACTGCCTTCGCAAATTCTTTGCTTTTGCTGGAAATCTCTTCCAAAGCATAGCACCTGTGGAAAACATGACGTTGCATATACAACTTGTAAAATTTGATAAATCATTACCAATCATCACTATTGGGATATCCTCTATCTCACGATATATGTATTGTATATCTTCTTCTTCTACGTTGATTATTTGATGAGTAGTTTTTGCGATCAGGCAAATACAATTGATCATTGCGAACATATCTATCTATATACAAATACTCTAACACAAGGAGAACATTATTATCATATTTTGCTTAAGCGATAACAATAAAGATAATACAAAAAAGATAGATAAAGATGTGATACTATGGATTTTGTAAAACCATTAAATTTCGTGAGAAAGTCATTGTGGCTTTAATTCCCGATAAAAACTACAACAAAAGATGTGTGATAAAACTCTAATTGATTTACAAAGCTCTTTTCAGCTTCCTGTTAGACGCACGTTCTGAAGCTCTTCTGCAGTAGAAAAATAACGAAGCCCTACCTATGTAGAATGGTCATCATTGTTTCTAGCAGACGGTCCTGTCTTCCCTCCTGTCCACCGAGGTCCAGTTCTAGAAGCACGTGACCGGCCATGTCAAGGGCAAGTCTGAGGCTCAGTTTGGTAAAGTTGATTGGCTCTGACTCATTCATTTCTAGTATATTCTTACAGAGTATGTCTAAGTCACGGATTACTAAAGAACTGCGTCCGTAAATTGATGTTTTGCGAAAAATAGATTCAATGACACGATCACTGTCTGGCATTGCTTCAGACGAGCTCAAAAAAGAATCTTTGAGTGGGGTGTCGTCGGCATAATTGTCCGTCACTTTATCTAGTTTATTGATAACAGTTTGTGCCAAATGTTCATCAAATATGTAAATTTTCCCCTCGTATTTAAATAAGCCAAATTTATGGTAAAACTGACAAAGATATTCAAGTTTCTTGAATTTGTCTTTCCCAAACAACTGAAATAGCAGTTTGTTAACGATTAATCCAGCTTCCGGTACTAGCCCATCTCTCGGTAGAGCTATATGTATCTGCCACTGAAAAACAATAACAGAACCAAGTGAAACCCAAAATCGTGCTACAATATTTCCTAAGAAAATACGGCGACTGAAAGCAGTATATATGTTAATGGAATGCAATACACAGAGTAAATATTCGATCTGGAAGTTATTTCAAATATTTATAATCATTCCTAATAATGTATTAGTTAGACCAATGCCAGTTCATTATGACTTAGTGGTATTTTCTCTCTTTTCAATCCAATTTCAAAATGTTGTATTGTTTAAAACAAACGGGTGTGGAAACTGGCAAATATGTTGTACAGTAAGTTATCATTGGTAAAACCTGCCATAACCTCAACGTCCGATCCAATATACCTACAGAGGTTCCAACTACGCTGAAAATACATTCGGAATGAAATTGTTTAAAGGAAATGGCTACCCGGAATAAAATGTCATATCATTTAAGACATGAATAACCAACCAAATAAATAAATGCAGAACAAACTGTTGTATCAACATTAATAAAGGGGTAATAAATGCCACATTATAAATAAAACCTTAAACGAACCCGGAAAAAACCCACCTTATTACTTATATTGCAAACCCCGGAATGTAGATATGACAGGAATTAGTCCCCTAATGAAGGAGAAAATAGATATAAAATATAAACTTACCACATCACTGAGGAACTGTAGGATGCTAAGAGTAGCTGACACTACTAAATTGACAACAGCTTGCATCATCTTCTTTCCTGAAACTGCTCCCCCACTAGTAGTACTGTAGGCGACCGTCTTATATACCTTTCGGTCAGATAACAGATTTAGGTCGTCAACCTTGTCATTTATATTATCTATTTGGAAAAGGTCTTCCATTCCTTGACCCTGGTTTAAGGGTCAAAATGTCATTGATTTGGTCAGTACCTCTGTTTATTATTTCTATAAACTAAATTGAGGAACGTTTAGTCATGTTTTCAGAAATAAAGCATGCTATCAACCTAAGGATCAATTTTGCTGAGGGATAATAACGAGACAGTGCTGTGATTAATTTGTAATGTATATTATAGCAATTTCTCCATCTATTTAGATTTTAAAGACTACACATCTTGCATTAACATAAAATGTTTTAAAGATATGTAGTTTTGTAACAATATTCGTATAGTCTATCAACGTTTAAAGTGTTTGTGTATTACAACTTACTGTTTATTGGTTGTCCCGACTATTTGTATTGCTTTAAAATGTATGCAAAGTCGGCTACCACAATCGCTCTCTGTAAGGGACATGAGTAACATTTAATTCTGTTTGTGGACAACACAACTCTTTGTTTGGTTCTAATTTTTGTTGGATATGTTTAAATCATGGTGAAGAAATGCGTAGTCGTGTGGAGTATCATAATATTAGTTATATAGTCAGTTACTGACCCGCTATGGTTCTGTAGAGGGTCAGTAACTGACTATATAACGAATTTATCGCATCGAGGACCCTTTTTGCTTAAAATGAAAATGATGTAATGCATAACAAAACAATATGAATATTTAACAAATTTAATCAACTTTGATAAATGAAAATAAAATAAATTATATAACGAAAACATAACATGTAACAGTTTTTTTGTCCTTGGAACAAGATATCACACAGATCGTTAACATTTTCTCATTTCTTAATTGCGAAATTTTGTATAATAGTAACACTGCAATTGTAGCGAATAGGAATTACGGTGAGCATTGTATCATTTTTAGAATATTCAGGTACCCGTATCTGTTGTTTTAGTTTTGAAGCGGTGAGCAATGGGCGGCCATATTGCCCTATAATGGAATCCTACTGACTCTCTATAGAAAGTTAGAGGGTCACCACGTGACAGCTCTAAACCAATGTTTTTGGACAATTTTTGTCCGAGGTGCGATAAGTGATTTTATTCTTTGCTATTCTATATATATTTTGTGAACAGTGTAAGACAATCTATATGCCGCGTGCTGCTTGGCGCCTCCGCGGGAAAGTCACTGACCGGCCGGTCGAGTTGAACAAGCTTTGTTTACGTCTAGGAATCAGCCAACTGACGTAAATAAACTTCTTCATCTTCTTCTTCTTCTTCCTGCAGTTAATTTTTTCCGAATGTTTTCTCGGAAACGGCTAGTTTGATGCCAATGAAACTTAGTACGGGACTAGCGGGCATGCTTAGATGTGCAAGCATGAATATTGATGGACATGCTTCGATTTGCAAGCAACCTTTTTATTGTTTTAGTTTTAATCATGCTACGCATCCAAGATGGCCACCATGGCCTCAGATTGGCAAAAAAAATGTATATCCTCATTTTCATTCGCCGTATATTCTCATCTGATTGTTCCAAATGTCATTAATCGATTTTGATAAAATAAGGTATATACATGCAGGTATAATACGACACTACAAACAGCACAGCGACTTCCAAAATAATCATTTTCGACTGCGGGGTTAGTTTTGGGGACATTTGTAACGGCCGCTGTTACAGTAAAAATTTGTTATAACCGTTCAAACCATTGATGCACCGTATAATATTTAGATATACGTTGAATTGTATTTCCCCGGGACTGGATTTATCTGTATATGATTACTAGAGGAATTAGGATTGTTATTTGCGGTAGCAATTCAGCTAGCGGCCTTCGGCGATGGCTGAAGTCTATAAGCAGTACTAATAATATGGGATTCGGCATCTTCATTTCATAAACAAAAAATTTCGATAAACCTGACAAAGCTCACGTACAACTGCTTCGTGGAAATGTTAGCACGCAGATTATTCAATTTTCAATTTTACATAGAGATATGTATAAGTATAGAAAAGGCAAGATAGAGAACATTCGATTGAGTGTAGAGTGTAGTTCGTTGTTGCTTCCCTTTGAAATAGTCTGATAGTGTCTTGGATTGTTTTCCTTGATAATAGTATATAATGATCATAGTATCTAATAAGCTTAAATAGAAATCATTGCTGTAGGAAAGTGACACTTTGTAACTGAGCTGGTTACCAAAGTTGACCTAACCCAGGTCTGTTCGGTAATCTTATAGAGCTGCCTCCCGTCATTCACCTACCGGTCATCCTCGAAATCCAAGTGATAACACGCGTTCCCGTTCTGTGCAGAGAGCGTAAGTGAGCGTAAACTCTGTAATTTAGAGGATACCAACCAGTCATCTATATTTTTTGATCAGTGGTCATATTTGCCATATTATATACCGTTGAGTTTGGAGTGAAAGTTTTGATAACTCTGATATTGTCTATATTTGCCGGTATCACATGCCGTGCCTTTCAAACTGGACAATATGTGTAAAGTAAGGGTGTGAGTCGTTATTGTCCAAATGGAATATAGAAAGATTAACAATAACGCACATCTGTGTATGTTAGTTTACCAAAATGTCTCTCCCTTGCTCCCGCTTCCGTATCCGTCTGCACACGTCTTTACTCTCTGTTACATGAACTCAAATACATGCTTTTTTCCCGCCATCCCTTCTGCGTTTCTCCTTATCTTTCCTACAGAATACCTCAACATTTCAGTCTACCTCCACATACTTTGTGTACCCATAAGCATCATAATATCGGAATAGATACGCTACCAACACGTCACAGAAATACACCATCGACTGACAAGTTTTAATCCAGTAGATTTCAATGATATTTCTTTTGACTTTATGTAATCCGATATTCGCCTACTGGCCATATTAGTTTGTCGTTTGGTTAGGTAACTGTAATAACTGTTTCATATTTTTTATTTTGATTGTATTTTCTTTCTATACAGGTATTTAGGAAAACAACATGTCCACGGACACCATAGTGAATTTGGACGCCATTGTAGAGAAATGGGCACGGGAAGAATACGAAAAGGACGCAAAGAGCATACGTGATCTGAAAAAGTACTTGAAAGATTTAGAAATGCTTACAAAGGTTCCTCGAAGGAGTAACATCACTTTCAAAAAACAAGGAGAAACTAAATTCACTAAGGGCGAAAAAGAAGATGCTCAAGAGGGGGACAACAACATACCTAATGCGGTGAACAAGATCGTGTTTAAATCTACATACAATAACAATACTGGTTACGATCAAAATCATGCTTTTAAGACTGAACGAACTATTACTGTCAATGAGAAAACTGCAATGACGAATGGATTCAAGATGGGGATGAACTTTGGAATTCAACTGGGAGTTCCTCGTGTCGCCAATACAACTCTTCACATAAATCCTGAAGTGTCGCTAAGCAACAGTACTGAAACCAGTAAAACACACACGTTGACATGGACATCAGACAGCACCTTGCCTGTCCCGAAACGTCACAGAGTCATCGCCGAAGTGGTGGTGAAGGAGGAAGAATACACAGGTTTATTTGAGTCATGTATTGCTATCAATGGTTTGATGGAGGTCGATTTCATAGATCCGAAAAGCAACAGTATAATTCACACGGTCAGAGATGATATAGCGAGGATAATCAACAAATGTCAACCACTGGCTATCCGTGAGGATGTTAAATTGTCAGGAGATACAACGGTTATCTGGACTGTAAGAGGCACGTGCCACTTCCAGTATGACATCAAACAAACCATCAACACCAGGTGCGAAGAGTTGCCAAAGGAATATCCGGGTCCTTATGACAGCGACTAAATGGTGAAAACAACCCGCATAGAACGTCGCTGTAGCTCTGCCTATATAAGAGGTGTCAGGCTGTGATAAAGTCTTTGCGTTTTACGCTCCCAATCTCTTTAATTGATGACATCAATATACAAATGTGATCTGTACAATTAACATGCATTACTTAGTATTTTTGTAAATCTAAGTGTAAGGGTTGACGTTCTCTGTACCCGTGGAAAATGTGATAAAATCGAAGGCACGCGGTTAGCCATTTCATTGGTTTATGTATAAAAGCATGACCAATCGCCAGGTTGTTGCCTTTCCTTTGAAGATTACAGAGGAATGACACTGACATCAAAGCCGGTCAAGTTTTACTGTTATACTACCGCGTATTTTTTTAGACGTACGTCAAAGGATATATAGTTAGTCTATATGCAACATCCATAAGGTGGCGCATATGGAGCTTCCGATTTATTATGATATAATCCGGGGGAGCGGAGAAGGTAAGAGATTGTTACCCCTGGGGTATCGAAGTGTATGTAACAATGTATGTCAAATCTAAATCACATGCGTTTAGAGGTATAAACACCATAGCATGCGTTATACATTTTTTTTTAAACTGGCATAAAGGTTATTGCCAGTACTAGGGTCCGTATTCAGGAAGCTGTTCTCAAACTCAGATTTTGTTCTCAAGCCCAGTTATTCCGGTGATAAAGTAACACAATTCTCGTGGTATCAAAGATTTAAACTAATTTTGGCGATATTTATAGCTAAAAACCATTTTCAATGTCTAGACTTCACTTTTTGTCAGTGGCACAGGATTTAAACAAGCTACAATGAAATTGGTTTGAACCCGGCCTCTCTAAAGCGACAAAAATAAATATGCTGCAACCATTGAAACAGTTGCTACCTTTGTAATTTAATTACTTTTTGGGGTTTTTTTGGCCTTAGTGTTGAATGTTTGCCCATATGAGGAAGGCGAAGGGTTCTGTCTCCCGGACGAGATATACCAAAGTCCTTAAAATTTAAAATGATGGTTGTTATTCCCTACTTAACGTCGGGATTTAGGTTTCTCAATTATCAGTATAATGTAACCGGGTAGGGTACTCTGCCGGGTGCCTTTTGCATGGTATATTAGTCAGGTAGCACTCTTAATTTGGCATCAGATCCGCGTTTTCGCAAGGAGGAACGCACAACAGCATACTTCCTCCAGCACGCATACATTACAAACATGAATGTACGTCCTTAAATGACCTTTGACAATTCTATGTTTGTCGTCACATCTTATAAGTTTATTAGATGGTCTCGTATACTTTCGTCTATTTTTTCTGCAGAGACGTCCTATTATGTACTAGAAATCCCTTCCTTGAGTTGTAGATGTTGTCATAAGTTATCTAGGGCACCTCCAGACCTGCTGGTAGTGTTTCCATTCAAAGATTAGCAGCCCTTCTAGTAGGAATGGAAGATTGNCCCCCTCCTCCTCCTCGTTGGCTTGCTTTTATCTAACCATTTTATTTCCGGTGATTTCGACACTGATGGTGTCTCTGAAAGCGTTAGCTAAATTGTGTTGATTGTCTTTGTCTGATCTTTATTATCACATTGGGACTGGGATAAAGGATCCAAAAAGTATGCCAATTTCATTGAAGAAATGACTGGCAGGTGAATTTGTATTCACGCTGTGATCTATTTTGTGTTTGTGTTGACGCTGTGGTATGTTTTTTCCCTGTGTGTTAACGCCGTGTAATGTTTTATCCCTATGTGTAAACGCCGTGTCATGTTTTATCCCTGTGTGTTAACGCCGTGTCATGTTTTATCCCTGTGTGTTAACGCCGTGTCATGTTTTATCCCTGTGTGTTAACGCCGTGTCATGTTTTATCCCTGTGTGTTAACGCCGTGTCATGTTTTATCCCTGTGTGTTAACGCCGTGTCATGTTTTATCCCTGTGTGTTAACGCCGTGTCATGTTTTATCCCTGTGTGTTAACGCCGTGTCATGTTTTATCCCTGTGTGTTAACGCCGTGTCATGTTTTATCCCTGTGTGTTAACGCCGTGTCATGTTTTATCCCTGTGTGTTGACGCTGTGTCATGTTTTATCCCTGTGTGTTGACGCTGTGGTATATGTTATACCTCTGTGTTGACGCTGTGGTATATGTTATACCTATGTGTTGACGCTGTGGTATATGTTATACCTGTGTGTTGACGCTGTGGTATATGTTATCCCTGTGTGTTGACGATGTGGTATATTTTATCCCTGGGTGTTGAGGCTGTGGTATATGTTATACCTGTGTGTTGACGATGTGGTATATGTTATACCTGTGTGTTGACGATGTAGTATAAGTTATCCCGTGTGTTGACGTTATAGTATATGTTATCCCTTTGTGTTGACGTTTATAGTATATGTTATCCCTGTGTGTTGACGATGTGGAATATGTTATACCAGTGTGTTGACGCTGTGGTATAAGTTATACCTGTGTGTTGACGCTGTGGTATATGTTATACCTGTGTGTTGACGATGTGGAATATGTTATACCAGTGTGTTGACGCTGTGGTATATGTTATATCTGTGTGTTGACGCTGTGGTATATGTTATACATGTGTGTTGACGCTGTGGTATATGTTATACCTGTGTGTTAACGATGTGGTATATTTTATACCTATGTGTTGACGCTGTGTCATGTTTTATCCCTGTGTGTTGACGCTGTATTATATTTTGTCCCTGTGTTGTGACGCTGTGGTATATTTTATACCTGTGTGTTGACGCTGTGGTATGTTATCACTGTGTGTTGACGATGTGGTATATGTTATCCCTCTGTGTTGACGATGTGGTATATGTTATACCAGTGTGTTGACGCTGTGGTATATGTTATACCTGTGTGTTGACGCTGTGGTATATGTTATACCTGTGTGTTGACGCTGTGGTATATGTTATACCTGTGTGTTGACGTTGTAGTATATGTTATCCCTGTGTGTTGACGTTTATAGTATATGTTATACCTGTGTGTTGACGATGTGGTATATGTTATACCTGTGTGTTGACGATGTAGTATATGTTATCCCGTGTGTTGACGTTATAGTATATGTTCTCCCTTTGTGTTGACGTTTATAGTATATATTATCCCTTTGTGTTGACGCTGTGGGAGTACGTTTTGTCTATAAGTATGGACACACTTAAAAATAATAATAAATATCTTTCCCGTAACGTCGGCATTATTCTCTTGTTCCTTTAGTAAGATGAAGACATATGAAACCGCATGGAATCATGGTTCCTCTGTTTTCTTCTTCAACTTAAGAAACACAGTGTTCTTCCTTTAGCTGAAAAAAATACACATATATATATATAAAGATATTTTTGTTCGCACCTAGAAATATGTTGGTCTTTTCTGTTCTCTGACTACTGCAAGTCTTTTGAATGATGAAGTCCTTGTAAAGTATAGCCGTATAATTTGCACATAGTTCATTTGTCGTATATCAAAGCTGACGTTAAGCTTGTGCATATATATATATATGGCAGCTAAAAATATTATCCTGGTCCTGAAAAATCCCTGTCCCCACTGCTATGTGGTTTTTGTCGTTACCTTTCCTTAATTTCTTTTTCGGATAAAACTGTTCAACAGTTGGACAAGAGCACTACGTTGACCGGGCAGCTTATTCTGCTACAGCGATGGCATAGCAATCTGAAGTCTTGGGTTCGAATCCCGTTCTATATCCCTGCTGAATTTTTAAAACTATTGACGATGTGGTATATGTTATTCCTTTTGTGTTGACGCTGTGGTATATGCTATCCCTGTGTGTTGACGCTGTATAATATGTTATCCCTGTGTGTTGACGCTGTATTATAGTTTGTTCCTGTGTGGTGACGGTGTGGTATATGTTATCCCTGTGTGTTGACGCCGTGTTATATGTTATCCCTGTGTGTTGACGTTTATAGTATAGGTTATCCCTGTGTGTTGACGCTGTGGTATATGTTATTCCTGTGTGTTGACGCTGTGGTATATGTTATTCCTTTTGTGTTGACGCCGTGGTATATGTTATATCTGTGTGTTGACGCTGTAGTATATGTTATCCCTTTGTGTTGACGCCGTGGTATATGTTATATCTGTGTGTTGACGTTGTAGTATATGTTATCCCTTTGTGATGACGTTTATAGTATATGTTATCCCTGTGTGTTGACGCCGTGGTATATGTTATATCTATGTGCTGACGTTGTAGTATATATTATCCCTTTGTGTTGACGCTGTGGTAGTACGTTTTGTCTATAATTATGGACACACTTAAAAATAATAATAAATATCTTTCCCGTAACGTCGGCATTATTCTCTTGTTCCTTTAGTAAGATGAAGACATATGAAACCGCATGGAATCATGGTTCCTCTGTTTTCTTCTTCAACTTAAGAAACACAGTGTTCTTCCCTTAGCTGAAAAAAAAAAGATATATTTATAAAGATATTTTTGTTCGCACCTAGAAATATGTTGGTCTTTTCTGTTCTCTGACTACTGCAAGTCTTTTGAATGATGAAGTCCTTGTAAAGTATAATACTTTGCGCATAGTTCATTTGTCGTATATCAAAGCTGACCTTAAGCTTGTGCATATATATATGGGGGGGGGGGGGGGTTCCTCTGAACATCTGTTTCATGGATGTCATATTGCACTGCTGATAGGATTAGATATGACTATGTATGGCTGATATTGCCATGTTATCTTTACAGTGATCTAACAAGAGGCCCATGGGCCTTAATGGTCACCTGATATATTTATACAGAGAGTTGATTTGGCTTTTAACATCAACAGAAATATTATTCAAAGTGACAAAAAACAATAAAACCACCTTATTCAATATCTAGCATACAGATTTAAGACTAAAAAGTATTTGAAACTAGCACCTCCGATTCTAAACAAGGAAAATGAAGAAATTTTAGCACACTGACTCTTTTGGGCCCCACCCTACAGCCCTTGGGGTTGGCTCAAAATTTTCAAATATCAAACTGTCAACTCAGGGTTATAATTCCAATCAAGTTATTAACATGTAATATTCAAAGTATCATTTG